GTTTTTAACATCAGTTTTGTCTTTCTTACCATACCTGACAAATGAGTTGATAATGTTCTTTCCTCAGTCTGCTTTTTGGTTTGTTTTTTTTTTAAAAATAGTTTGCAAGGTGATATGAGCACTCAGTAAGTTTTTCTGTTTCCCCATGAGATAGCTTTGGTTTACATCATATATACAAATGTTTTGTGGCATCATGTTGGAAACCACATCCGGCTCACCCCTGCTAGTTCTTTATTTCTTCAGAGTACTCAAACCAGTGTTTCCTTGAGGATGAAGCCAGCTTCAGTGCTGGCCTCTCTAACACCTTTCTGTGCCCAAACTAGTGCTGGTTCATTCATTCTTTCCTCAAAGGCATCCATGCTGTACCATGCAATTGCTTCTGCTATCAGTTAATTCAATCCATGGAAAGTAAGCTGTGCTATACATCACTTCATCTCCCAAAGGACCCACTAGCTTTCCTTAAAATGCCTCTCTAATTAGAGGAGATTTAATCTGACTCCCTCTCTAGCCCCTCAGTGCTAATGGGCTGAATGAAGCCTGTTTTCTTACTTGATTTACCTCGTCTGCTGTTCATCAGCCATTCCTCTTGAATTTTTATGCACAGAAGCCATGTTTTTCATGTACTGGATCAGTCAAGAACTACTTGGTTTTCAAGGTGAGGAATGTGAGATAACCTGCTGTGACTGTGCTGCAGTCTGCCTTCCCAGCCCTTGCCAAATTTGCAATATGAATGGGAAGAAAAAAACAACCAACCTGTAGAAAATACTGCGTTCATGTAAAAATCTTCATTTGTAATGCAAAGGCAAAGAGAACTGAGAACTCTATTGCAGGTGTGTTCTCCTAGGAATCCATGCACCTATGGTCTAAGCAGGCAGCCATCATACCCTGGCAGGCTTCAGCAGTCAGGCCAAGGAGATGCCACCACAGGCTGTGTGTGGGGGCCTCCAGAGTGCAAAATTTTGAGCACAGAGGGGGGTGAGAACATCTGGCCAGAGCTGTAATAAAGCTGTATCATCTGCTGATTGGGAATGGAGAATGGCCTTAACACATGCTACCACATGTGCATTAGATGTCCTCTAATGCATATGCTCTCCTCCTTTCCTGCCAGGTGATGCAAGTGTGTTTCTGCATTAGGAAATGATGTTGGCATGAGATTTGCAAAAGCAATTAGAGGTTTTGAGCTCCAGTGCTGGGATCCTGTGGAAAGGCTGGTCGTTCCTGGTGCAGATTTCTTTCAGATTTCTGAAGTCAGGCACAGGAAATTGCTGTTCACCCTGTTGAGATCAAATTTGACAATGATGTAAAAATGGAGAAAGAAAATTGGCAAAGCAAAGCCCTACAACTGCATTAGCAGGATCTGCTCCCAGAAGTGCTGCTTCCAATGCTGCTCAATTGAAAGTCGACCTCTTGGCCTTGTTGGAAGCCTGGGTGCCTAGCATAGCACCCAGATTATTAAAACTAAAATGAAATTGAATTAATCTTCCCAATGCTTTAGTCCATAATGACTTGCTGCCCTATAAATGCTTCTAAGAAGGCACAAGACATTTTGATTTTTGACCCACACCTTCAGATGCCGCCAGTTTAATCTCTTAGCTTTGCAGCCCATCTGGAAAACGCTGTGTGAGGAGCCTGCACACTTCCTATCCTCATGTGCAGTGCTCAGTACATTTCCTTTCTTTGCATTTTCAAATCTGGAAGATAGTGTTAACACTTAAAATAAAATTGTGATAGTGAGTGTGAAGAGGGAACGGGGAGAACAAGTTTTCCGTCTGTCAAAATGAAGACATCAGCCTCTGCTTTCATTTTTTTTGGCATGTGTGCTTTAAATAGAATGACTGGGTTGGGTGACTTCCAAGTGTTTGCTGTATTTGGCAATCCTTCTAAGTTGTAACAGATGAAGTTCTGCTATTCCATATGATGTGCTCCTTCCCCCTTTTTCTGTGACTCCTTGAAACTCCTTGGGAATTCAGTGTAGCATTCACATCTGTTCCATGGGTGGATGTCCAAGGCTAACAAAATGCCTACTGGACTTGGAGTCAGTGCTGCCAAAAGCCATATGGTTGTGTTTCAGTTTTGCAAGCACAGTGCAGTAAAGAATGGAGGGATGAGAGAGAAGAAGAAATGAGAGGAGGAGGGATGGAGCTTCAGATCAGTAAATGAAGGTAACTTTTTGTCATTTGGTGTGAGAGTGGGTGAAGGTAACTTTTTGTCATTTGGTGTGAGAGTGGGAAGATGAGCAGATCATAGAGAAAAGGAAATAAAAGCTGTGTTCCTTTGCCAGTTGTTTTGAATTACATGGTGCTCCTGTCTTATGTGTTGTTGTTGACTGTAACCTCAAAGCATATTTGGTTTTGCCAACCTTTTAAAAAAATGCCATAATTGCCTAGGTAATTGGGTGCTCTTTTTGGCCTCACAAGATTTGCATCTTTTCTGAGTACCACACTAGAAGCCCTTCTTGATGCCACCTATTGAATGCCATGCAGCAGCACATGCAGTATTGACTCACTAGGGTGGAAGGGACATTGAGCAGGTGCAGATGCTTCTCTGAGCATCCACCAGCTAGAAAGCCACTTGGGCTGTTTTCTTACCAGCTATCTGTTGGCCCCTGCAAAACAGCAGCTTGCATTATTAATAATCATTGGACTTCTCTGTGTCTGAAAGAATATGCTTGTTATTTGTTGAACCACGTTCTGGTTCTCTTGCTCATGGAAAGCTCTTGTGAGCTGCGACTTTAGTGGGTGCTTAAAGAGAGGGGCTCTCCAAATGCTTTGTCCTCTGAAGATTCAGTATTTCTGACGTGGGAAACATTATTGACTGATGTATCATAAGCATATTACTAGAAGGGAAAAAGAAGATGTACTACATAGTCTACTGCACAGACTCTCCTTGTAGTTATACATGTGTATGTTATTGCAATGCTTTCAAAATCCCATTCTGAGAAAAAAAAAACCAACACACTAAAATTCAAAGCAGGGCACGTAAGCAGTGTTCCTGCTTATTGTAGGGGGGTTGGACTAGATGACCTTTAGAGGTCCCTTCCAACCCAAGACATTCTGTGATTCTATGAAATTCTTGTTTGGTGGAGAGGGATGTGCAGCAACCTTACCTTTGTAAAAGGGATGTGCAGTGTTTATTCACAGATACTGTTTTTCTTGTCAGCTCAAAGAGTGAGTGCAATTTATGAGAGGGTGGCTGCAAGCCTCCTAAAGAGGGCATTTGTTCCGTACTGGCTTTGAAGTAACACAGCCACTTGTTTACCAGTATTTTACAATGATGATCAACAGTAGCATAAACAGTTGGAGCTTGTGAGCAACTCATCTGTGCTCTGTTCTGTTCCTATCCAGAAATAATAACAAGATGAATGCTTTTTTTGCCTAGTGTTATGCAGGCTTGACAGAAGTGTGTCCATTTCCTTTTTTCTCTGCATCTGAACACAAAATAGTGTCCTGAGTCTTTGCTTGGGAAACATCTCTTTATGCTAGGTTTGAAAAAAGTTATTTCACACAGAATCTTAGGGGTTGGAAGGGACCTTGAAAGACCATCTAGTCCAACCCCCCTGCCAGAGCAGGATCACCTAGAGCACATCACACAGGAATGTGTCAAGGCAGGTTTTGAATGTCTGCAGGGATGGAGACTCCACAACCTCTCTGGGCAGCCTGTTCCAGGGCTCTGTCACTCTCATAGTAAAGAAGTATTTTCTGATGTTTATGGTGAACCTCCTATGCTCCCGTTTGCACCCATTGCCCCTTGTCCTATCACTGGACATCACTGAAAAAAGCCTGGCTCTGTCCTCCTGACACTCGCCCTTAACGTATTTGTAAACTTTGATGAGGTCACCCCTCAGTCTCCTTCAAGTTAAAGAGACCAAGCTCCCTCAGCCTTTCCTCATCAGGGAGATGTTCCACTCCCTTCATCATCTTTGTAGCTCTGCGCTGGACTCTTTCAAGCAGTTCCCTGTCCTTCTGGAACTGAGGGGCCCAGAACTGGACACAATATTCCATTTGTTACATGTAGGCAGGTACGTTCCTTTTCAAAGCTTTTTGAGAGTAGTTTATATTAATCGTAGACAATAAACATTGCTTCTGAATTAAGAGTGCTCACATCTGACTCCTGACTCGAGCAATTCTTGTTCCCTTTTTGTGGCTTCTTCTGAAATGTTTGAGTAGATTGAGTGTATGTTTAAGCAAGGAATGAATGGACCTATTGTTCAATGCTGCGGTGGTACAAACAAGTATCAGCCCATCTCCCACACAAAGCTGCAGAGTTATTGTGTGATGTGTCTGGCAAACTCTTCTGGGGTTGCTTGTTTTGTGGTGAACAGGAGGAAGATCTCCAGTAAGGCCAGCAGCAGTCATCCTAACCCAGAACTGGACATCTGTTCTCCATACGTGAAGGATGTGGCCTATTGGAATTGCTCCTTTTCCCCTCCCTTGTGATCCTCACGAATTGACCCTAACACAGGCAGTTCCCAGACACTTCTAAACACTCTCCTTCGTCTTCAGTATGGAGTTTTTCATCCAGCAACTTCATTTCCGAATTTCAATCTCCTCCTGTTCACAACTGCACCATCTTAATTTCTTTGTCCAAATGTAGCTTATATATGTGCCAACAGCAGCAGTAACGCATGTGGTAATGTCTACAGGGAGGTACAACAGCAGGGAAACATTTTGTTGGCTTGTGCCTGGTGATCTTTCAGTGCTCTTTAGGGACAAGTGATAGAGTGAAGGCCTCCCCCTGCATCATGGTCCCTGTATGGGATGTCACTTAACTGAAAGTACACACCAACTGCTTGGAGTCAGAGTGATTAAAACATGTGCTTAAGTTCATGTAGCAGACAAATGGTCTACAGATGCCTTGTCCCACTTTCCCCAGAACTGGACAACTCATCTGGAATTATTTTTAAACAAATTTTTCACTAATTCACCTTGTGTTTTGAGCTTGTCCCTGTACCATATTTACAGCTAATGTTTATGCTGGTTTTCTCTTCCTGTGTCCAACAGGGTGTCCCCACTGTAAAAATGCCATTCCGCATTTCACAACTGCGGCCGAAGTCTTCAAAGAGGATCGAAAGGTAACTTGCTGTTAATTATTTCTGAAATACTTAAGCATGTTTTCCACCACTTGAAATGTATAGATTTGTTTATTGATAAGGTGATGGACTTCTAGGTAAAATTGCTGTTACACTAATGGAAATCTATCTGCATCTTAGGGGATGTGTCTTTTTTGATCACAGAGTTACACTTCTAACCTGTTTTCCTTATTTTGATGTCTTTTCTGTTTAATTCTTTCTGTAAGAGTTCTGTGAAGCAAAACACATTCTTTCTCATTGAGAGATTAATAAAAGATAGTTTGAATCATCTCCATTCCCCTTTCAACTTTTGTCAGCTGTTGGTGGTGCATGTTTTGTGGCAGTCCTGAAGACCTCAATCATGTAACTCATCTTTGCTTGCATATCATAAATGTGATATATTGCTGTAAGTAGGCTGACTTGAATCCACAGTGTCAGGCCCTTCTAGGACCCTCATGCTTGAAAATACATCTGAGGGCTCAAGCACACCAGTTAATTTCCTGGCATCAGCTGAACCATTTTAACTGAGTGAATGTGTATCTGGGATTAAAAAAAACCCACATGAGCCACCAGATTTAACCAAATAACCAGCTAGAAACCTGCTTATTATCTTTTAGTGACCTATATCTTATTCTGATCTCTGACTTTGTTTTAACTTCAGGATTGCTTTGTGTTTAAGTGTGTGTGGCATGGAAAAGAGTTGGCAATTTAATAGGAAAATTGGTCTCCACATCTTCCTGAGGAGGAGAAGTGGAGAGGGAGGTGCTGGTCTCTTCTCCCTAGTATTCAGTGACAGGATGTGTGGGAACGGTTCAAAGCTGCATCAGGGGAGGTTTAGACTGGACATCAGGAAGCATTTCTTTCCAAAAGGGTGCTCGAACACTGGAACAGGCTTCCTAGAGAGGTGGTTGATGCCCCAAGGCTGTCAGTGTAAAGAGGCATTTGGACAATGCCCTTAACAGCATGTTTTAACTTTTGGTCAGCCCTGAATTGGTCAGGTAGTTGGAGTAGATGACAGTTGTAGGTCCCTTCCAACTGAAATATAGTCTATTCTATATTCTATTCTAAATTAAGAGGGTATTTTGTAACAGTTATACCCCTATTCATTTCCTGCTACTGTAGCAGAGGAACTTGACATGTTTGTTTTTTAGTTTTCCTCTCATCTTTTTGTAACTCACAGAGGGTGCATCAGATTGACAAGAAACAAATCGTTCTTGTATCAGTAACTGCATAAAATTAGAAGTACATCACTTATGTCCTCTGGCACACAGAAGATTTAGAGGCATGCAGCTTTCAGTTCTTTTGCTGCTGGAAATTTGTCTGCTTAGATGCTTTTTTGATACTTGTTTCCAGAATCTATGAGAAAGTATCCTAATTTTCCCACTTTTCTGGTAGTTCCCAAAGAAGCCTCTCTTTCCTGAACTCATTAACATTTCAGTCAGAGGAGGTGAAGCAAATGTACCAAACAATGTGAAACTTGCTTATTGGAGCCCCAGGATGTATTAACAAGCAATCTGAATCAGGGCACAGCTTATTGGACATGGTGGTGGTGGTAAATGCAGCCTTGTGAAGCTTTTGGTTCAGACTGCAGGTTACGAGAGGACTCCAAGAGCAGAGCGGTGATTGACGGATGCAACTCTTGACTTCAGTTTAAGGCCGAAGTAAGGAGGTATAAAATGTAATGAGTTGAAACAGGAGAGCCAGTAGGGAATATTAAGGCTGGTACAGTTTCAAAGAGGTGTGTGCAGTTAGGGAAAACAATGTTATTCCACCCTAGTGACTTATGAAAGTGCCAGGAATTGATTATCTGGGGACCCCTATTTAATTGTGTACAGCCATAACCTGCCAAGGTGCTTCTTGCTGCCAGTTTGTGCCCTTGTGGAAAAGAAAATAAAACTGTTTAGGACTTAAGAATGGCACATGGCTGTTCCCACAGGCAACACTGGGCAAATGGGGCTGAGGCTTCAAATTTTGGCTAATTCGTAGTTCTGTAGGGTTGCAAACTTCTGTAAAATTATTGCTTAAGAGGGAATGAGTATTTCTGCTTTCAAAAACAGGGGAAAATTACTAATTTTCATTTTTAGTCTGTAGTAGTGTCTTTTTTCCCCCCTGGAGAAAGGTTTTTTCACTGTAACAGAGTATGGTAGCATTTGAACAGTATCTTCAATAGGGGTGGTCCTTTAATTAAGCATTTAATTCTGCAGGAGCTGAAGAGCAATCAAAAAACATTCCAGTCTTGAATTGTGTATAAATGGTATCTTAAAAAGGTATCCTTTGGGAGACTTAGAGTCTTTACATTGGAATTTGGGAGATGAGTAAAGCTTGAAGTGTTTAAATATGTATCTTCGGCTCTGCAGTTTCACTGTAGGGGGTGGTTTTGGCGCAGAAGCCCCCCCTCCCCTGGGGCTCTGTGTAATGCTGTGTATTTTTTCATCATCTGCACTGCAGGAGTCGGAGTTTAAAAATGCAGCGCTTGAAACATTGGCCCCAAATGTCAGTTCTTGTTGGCCACATCACTGCTGGTGGTTTGAGCAGAAATCCCAAGCCTGCTCACTTGCTTAGGGCAGTTGTGTGGCTAATGCAAAACAGGGCTCTGGGTGTAACTCATGAACCAGAGCCTCTGTGTTTTTCCATGTACCTGGAGAAAGTTAGTGCCAGTGAGACCAGGTCAGTGGAGAGGCTAGTCCAGTGAAGCAATTAGCATATTGCTCTCAGTTACTCAGTTATTTTAGTTATTTAGTGACAGGGGTGGGGGAATAAAAAAAAACCAACACCATCTGGAGCATTCTTGCCTTGGGGCACTGTGTTCTTTGCGTGCAGCTGCCAGGGGAAAGCCTTTGGCCTGTGCTCCGCAACTTGAGTGTTGGCAATGAGGGGGTGCAGAAAATGCAAGTGTAAGGGTTGTCAGTTTGCTGAACAGATTGAGGAGCGGGATGGCATGTTCACTAACTACTCCAGAAAGTCTTGAAAGGACACCAGCTAAATCTTAAAAAAATCTGTATTCTGCCTTTTGGCTGATGATAAAGTTCAGCTTGGAGGAACTGATTTGTGATGCTCCAGCTTGGATTTGCTGAAGGAAACCTCTTGACTCCTCGCAGCTGACCAGTAACAAATTCCTGGATCTCCCTCAAAGGGGTGGCTCTTAGACCAGTCCTCTCCCATTTTCACAGAAGACTGTCCCTGTACAAGTGCACTGACCTAAATCAAAGCAGTGCAGCTGGGTTCCAATGAATTTGTAGAGAAATAGCTGTGGCAGAGATTGCTGGAAATGGTGCAGGTGATGGGCCTGCAAGACAGCAGTGAAACTGGTTGAGTCCCCCAGTGTGTATTGTGAGCCATGGTTTAAAGTCATTATACCAACCAAATCACTGTACGGTTATCCAAATGAGTTAATATTTTAGTTTGGCCAAGAATTTGATCCCTGTTTGCTTAAAAAGCATGTGTTGAATGTCTTTTTAATTAGACTCACTAAATATGGTGATGCTACCACTATACATCATGGTGCATACTAATGAGTCTTCCCTTTGCAAACAGGCCTGCTTTGAGAACAGCTGATGAATTGCAGCTCTGGTAATGCTGCTATGGCACATCAGGGCAGCTAATAATGAATCTTCCATTTGCAAGGCCTTTCAAATTGAGAACAGTAGCTGAATTGGAACAAGCTTTAGCAGGCCAGCTCATAACTGCTGTTAGGATTCACTTTTGGCAGCAACAGACTTTTTTTCCTAATAATCAGGTAGTTGTTTGGAATTGACTATACTTTAAAAATGTTACTTGGGAGCATTCTTTTCCATGTTGCAGCTTTACTTTTATTTTAACTTTTTCTAACCTTACCATATATCATTCCTCTCTTAAATCAATATTCAGTTAGTTATTCACTTCCATTTTCATAACAAAAGTCAATATTAGCTCCAGCAGAGATTTATTTCCTTGAATCAATAAACCAGTGTGTGGCAGCACATATTTTAACAGGAGAGCAACTAGGATTGCTGGGGGTACTTTTACCATACAGTCATATGGTGACTGGGAGACAAACTGTTAAAATGAAGAGGTTTAAGCATAGAAAGGAGGACTTGCCTGGAAGGTCAAGGGATCCTGCTTTCAATTCTCTACATGTCTATTTGATCCACTGGATGTAATTGTGTTCCTTACCTGCAAGGTGCCTCTAGAGAAGAAGTTGTTTTGGAATTTGGTTGGAAGGGAACTGTGATTCTTGATGTATGATTAGATGATACTGCTCATACTTCCTTTACCTTCTTACACACAGTAAAAAAAATAGGGTATCAGCCTTCTATTAGAGTTGAGGTACATGGAGACCAATGGTCAGATTTTCAGCATAGCTCCACTTCTAATTAAGTACATAAATGAAATATTCATATTTTTACAACAGCTCAGTGTTCATGATCAGACCACTTCATCTGAACAATATGCCAGGTTTGATTTTCCCATTTTAAGAGCTGGTCAGAGCTGGGCATACACACACTCTAATGCCATGTGGAGTTAAGTTTGCAACTCTGTAGTTAAGCTCCTTCTTCTTCGGTAAAACCATGAAGCATTGCTGTGGGATTTCCCTTTTCAGATAAAGGTATTTTCCAGTCCCAAATGTTGCTAGAGTTGTGTTAAACAATACTGACTATGGAATAAAGAAGAAAAGCATACTAACCTGGTATTTTATTGTTGTTATTATTATGCATAATTGTTATGCATAATAACCTGGAATTAACTATAAGTTGCATACTAGTTGTGAGGAACTACCAATAACATAAGAAAGCTGGATGAACTCCAAAGAACTTCCTCTGGGGTCCACAGTCTCTGATTGACTATCATTTTATTTGATAACTATTCTATTTCTGCTACAGCTACTGAACAGGATAGTGATAAACCTGAACATCATTGTCTCTGGAGAGAGAACTTGTATGTTATGATGTATTGTCAATATCTCAAGCAGTGCAGGCATAGCACTTAGGTTGTTTTTTTTTCTTCTGAAATGTTTCTTCAGTGAATTTTTCCCTCTGGTTAGGGGAAAAGTTAGAAAATCACAGTAAATACATTCTAGCCCCTAACAATCTTAAGATCTCCATAACATCAGTCTTGTCTTCTGAAAGCCGTTATGCTGGGTTTTTCCATAGTAGACATATATATAAATAGATATACACACACACACACACACATATATGTTTTACACCAGCAGTAGGAGAATTTCCTGCTCTCACCAATTTTGAAAGGTTTTTTCACTCCTTGATGAGAGGGAATTCATTAAAGGTGATGACAAATGCCTTTGCTCCTGGACATATATCAGAGTTGTTTTATGCTTAATCTGTCTGAAATTTCCAGTTTGAATCAAGTTTGTGTTTTTACAAGCAAAGCATATAGGTCCCACTAACCTATACTTTTCAGTGAACTTCCATGTAACTTGTTGCTAGTAGTTGAATATAAAGAAAATTTCTGAGAGTAATATTTTTCATAAGTATTTAACCACAGTTTGGTAGAAGCTTTTTAGGTTGGTATTTTTCCTGACTCAGTTTCCCTTTAGTGAGTCAGAAAAACTGGTCATTACCAGGAAGACTGAGAATCAGATGAAAATCTCTTCTGCAATGTGTCACTGCTCACTTGAGCCAGGACTCCAGCAAAGCCTTTCTTTTAGTGGGCTGCATCTTTTTATGTGCAGCCTTTCAATATAGTAATGAAGTAATTTACCCTAACTGAAAAGTTCTGCAGGAGTAGCCTCTACCTCCAAGTTTAATACTCACATCCATGAAAACACAAACAGAGCAAAGGTCATTGGTGCTGTTTGCTGAAATTCTGGTATGTCTCAGAGTTCAGCTGTCTGAAGTTAATATAATTGAGATTGAAATTGGTGCTCAGTCCAGAAGTGCATTTTGCTACAAGTGTTTTTCAGCATTCCTTTTCTCTTCTTGCAGTGCACTATATTTGATCTTCCACTGTGAGACAGGCAAGACAATTAGGACTGTGATGCTATGGTAATGAGTGCATAGAGAGATGGTAGCATCCTCTATATTTAGGCTGCCTTAACATTACTCCAAAGTAATCACTCAAGCTCTCTTAAGTGCTGCTGCTCAGCTACTGTTGGCAGCAGGGATTTGCAATGCAGGCTCCTTGGGAGTCTTGGGAATTAGGTGACTCTTTATGAAATTTTGCTCAGGTCTGTATGAGTTACAAGGCTTTTGAAAGTTGCTGGTTTTCCTTGCTCACTGGCTGTAAGAATAACCAAATAGGAATGTATGTCCTGAAGAGCTGGGCTCAAAATTATGTATTGCAGGAGCAGTGATGAGTCTGTGGGGCTTGTATCAGGAGCATTTCAGAGAAAGACCATGGATGTGTCCTCCAAATGCTGCTCTAGATGTACACAGCCTTTGCCACTAGACCTGTTAGAAGGCCTAACATTAAGGCTAATGTGATTGTTGCAGCCAGACTTGGACTGGGATCTTTTTGCAGGATTTCAGCACACAAATAATGCACAGATGGACCAGCTTAGATGTATGCGTGCAGTAGATGAGTGCTGTATCTCAAGCAGACTACTAAGCATTTCTTTCAGAAGCCACCTCATAGTTTTAACAGTCTTCCATTTTGAGGCAACAAGTAAAGATGTGCTGAACAAGGTTAAAAGTGGCTTACAGCATTGCATTCCTCCACCATGCTTTCTCCTCACTTGGGGCTATTCTCACAAAAGCCTTTTGTAAGTGAACTAGGGCTCTTTGCTTCAACCAGAGCTGGTCTAAATGTTTCCAGAGAGGTACAGATAAAGAGGGTTTCTCTTCCTTCCAGTGAACTAAAATCTAATTTTCCTAATCTCCAAGACACTTAAGAACAGATGGGTCATCAGTCACAACAGTTTCATGCCTCAGACCAGCTACTAGGATCTGGATGAGTGCATACACCTTCTGCTTTTTCTGGCTATAATCTCTCCCTGTGTGATATTTAGAGCCATGAGAAAAACACAGTTTTATTTTCTTCCTGTTTTTAGGGAAACAAGACTTACAGTATTCTTTCTACATTAATATTGTGGCAAGAAATACAAGCTTATCTCCATTGTAAGCTTTCCTTTACACTGAAGTAGCCAACAGGGCTCTAAATTTTGGCTGTCTGCTAAGGCTAGGAAGGCATAAATACTTAAGATGACACTCTTGCAGTGTATCACTCCTAACCTTTAGTTTTAACTGGCCCTAAATGAGTAGGAGTCTTTCTGTTTACAAAAGGGGGGGAAAAAGTGTGATCATGTGTGTTTTTAACAACTCTCAAGAGTTTTCCAGTAGCCTTATTAATGTTTAAAATGGGAAAGCAGAAACTGAATATTTAAGATAAGAACACTGCTCATTTTATGTAGTGCTTTCCATCTGAAGAGAGACCCAAGTGAGATCTTACTGAGTATTGTCTTGTCAGGCTTTCAAAGCCAAAACAAAACAAGCAAATTAACTGAAGTTGGCTTTGCCAATCTCCTTAATTACTGCTAGGATAATGAGATCAGGTTTTCTCATTTTGACAGTATCACCATGAAACTGGAGGGCATTGTGGAATATTAAGTGATCTTTTAATTATGGAGGAACAGTTCAACTGCAACCCTAAAGTCATGAGAGCAAAAGGTATTCTGATCAGATTGTTTGAAGGAGGCTCATTGAACCGAAGGTTCAAGTTGAGATGTGTCTGCTGTGAAGTTAGCACTTGGTAAATTGTAACCCACAGCTGCAAAAATCCTGGGTCTGATTTGTTTGGGCCTTTGCAGAGCTTGTCCTTGGCCCCCTTAGATGCTTTGCTGAGGAGCCAAGTAGGTGTGTGAAGGCAGGCCTGCCTAAGCAGCAGGGTACACTTGGAGCCAGAGCTGCCACCGGCGGGAACAGTCAGTGTGAAGGCACAGCAGAGGGCTCGGCTGCTTGAAGTAAAAGCCTATAAATTGCTTCTTCTTTCAATATCAGACATGCTAAGTCCAGCCCCTCCCTCAGTACTTCACAAATTCAGGTTTCAAATGTCAAATGCTTTAAACTAGGGTTAGCCTGAGCTGATCCTCTGGGATGTGAGGTTGTGCTTCCTTGCTGCAGCAGGCAGGGCTGCAGGGTGTTGCTCTGCTGCCGGCTGGGCAGGCTGCTTCCTGCTCAGCCTTTGGTTGTGTGACAGTAGCATCTAGAGGTTTCAAAAGGAACTAAAGTCCACTTTGCTGCACTTAACATACAGTCCCTGCCTTAAGGATTAGACTGAAAAAAATACTGGAAAGGAAACATCAACCAGGCTGAGCGTGCAAGCAAGCAACTTTCTGCTGTACTTGCACTGCTCAGCAGACAGCGCTCTGGGCTCTCACCCATCCCTGTTTGACCTTGGGAAAACTGAATGGAGTTTACAACAACTATTTGGGATAGAAATCATTTATCTATTAATAGCCTGCATAAGTGACCAGCCGTGTTTGTCCAGGAGCAGAAGAGGTAACTTTTCCAAGCGTTATCCATGGAGCAGGAAGGAGATTAATTTAGGGGGGTTGTTACCGCTATCAAAGACACCCTGTCACCATTTATCACTCAAAGCCAATGTGCAGGAAAAATACTGCAGTGGGACATAGCTGTGACTGCCATGCTTGGATTTCATTGTGATTTTACTAACACAGCCTCTAGATTTCCCATTTGGAGTCTAACACAGTGCTCAGTGGGGAGGCTAGGAAGGTGATTTTCTGCTCCTTGAGTTGAACATGCCTTGCAGCTGCACAGGCCAGGTGCTGTGCAAGCAGCACAGCATTTCATCTGGAGGGAGCAGTCTTCTGCTCTGCCATTCACATGGCTTGACCACCCTCTGATCTTCCCCAACAGCTGAGCTGTTACAAAAGCCGTTGCTTTCTTGGCAGAAGATTTGGGTCTCTCCTAATGTTAAGTCAAAGCTGCAGCCGCATTAACCATGGAGTGTTGCTTTGTCTTCTCCTGCCTCATGCTGATCTCTTTTGTCTTTCAGATCGCCTACGCTGCAGTGGACTGTGCCAAAGAACAGAATCATGACCTGTGTAAGCAGGAGGGGGTTGATGGCTATCCCACTTTCAACTATTACAACTACGGTAAATTTGTGGAAAAGTATACTGGAGAAAGAGGGGTAAGTGAAAGCAAGAGTCATCACCTAGTACAGGGAGGAGGATCTCCTCTGCCTGTACTGCCTTGGAAATGAAAATGGCAGGGTCAATTTTTATCATGCTGGAAGGATGTTTAACTGCTTCTATTACTGTCTTATATGGATGAATCATTGTGTGCCACACCCCTGTACATCTCTGCATTAGGAATGTGCTTGGTCTATTTTAAGAATATGAGAAGAGGAAAAAGAGGAGATTTGGTAATGCTTTGTTGTATATCTTAATCTTTTTTAACTGAAGTCTGCAAGTGAATTTGGACTGAGTGAGAGTGAAGGGTTTATTGCATGGGCTGCTCCAGGTGCAAAAATGCCAGAAAATAGAGAACTTACTCCTGTCAGTTCTGGATCTGGCTTGCACGTTTACTGCAGACGTGTTATGGGGCCTCCAGGCTGCCAAATGGTGACAGACCATTGGTTTCATAGCAGGGACAAAGCTGTCCTTTGGAGACTGGGGAAAATTAAATATCTCATTATCACTGAATCCAATTCACTCCTTAGGATGGAAAGGCCAATTGTGCCATCTAGTCCATGGGCTGAAGTTTCACTCTTTTTTTCCTGTGGCCAGCTAGTTAAATGCTATGAATACAAGAGGCAGGAATGGCCTTAATGTCTTCTGTGATTGTAAAGTGCCTGAAAATAAGGGAGCAATCAAATTATTTGTGTGCATTCTTTGTCATAACCTCTTAGAGAGAGGTTATTCCTCAGCAGTGATTGATTTCCTGGAGAAACTAAGGATCTGCAAGAAAAATTTGGGGTCTTCAAGCCATCTAGTGATTTTGATAAGAGCCTTGCCTGAAAGTTATTGCTTCTATTACAGCAGGCCAAATTATAGAGAAGCATGAAGAAAAAAGCCAAATTCTGAGGTTCTTTGTAAGTCAGTATCTTAAGGAAGTCTGCATGGAGCTTCAGACCCACTTTTCTCCAGCATTATGGACCCCAGTAATTACTATTTTATGGTGCTGATCCAGGTGTTGTTATGCATACTGTGTTTAGTTCTGATTGTGGATCTTTTCTTAAAAGTAAAGATAGATGCAGTGGTCAAAAATTAAGTAAAATTTCAGCCTCAATTTTTGTATTTCTAACGCATACTTATAGAAATGATACATGGAAGGAAGGATCTGTGGTGTCTGATAAAAAGAATTTAGCAAGACGGGAGTGCTCTGAGGCAACAGCAATTGAAAGATGATTATCCCTATGCTTGGAAGTGGATTGACTAATCCCTTGCATGCAGCTAACACCTTCCTGGGTGGAATTAAAATGCCCAACAGAAACATTGCAATCTCTGTTGTGGCTGACAGTTGTATTCCCCCTCCACCTCTCCTGGGACCTATGGTCTTCTGCTTATGCAGCATCAAACTAGATTTTGTTATCTCCTATCCTGATAATGCTGGGAGCAGTGCTTAGCACAGTTCCTTCCATGGAGTTTCCAGGTCTGTCCACACATCTATTTCAGTAACAAGGAATTGTGCTGTTAAAGGGCTGCTCATTGGCACGACAACACCCTTTGAATCACTTTGGCCAAGCACCTTGCAGAATAAACCTCAAGAGAGAGCAGTGGGCCCCAGGGGACCTGTTTTCTGTTGCTAATTCTACCAGTAAATCAGTAGATGTCTAGACCAGGGAGGGTACAAATGTGGCATGTAAATATCTTCATTTTTGGTGAAAGGTATCAGTGGCATTTCTAGGCACAGATTTCCCCTTGTCCTGTGTGAGTTTAGGACCTTTTTCTCTGTATCCCGTCTCCTCAAAGTTTAACGTATGGCACCTGTGTGGGTATTTCCCCCTTGCAATGTGGAAGTTTATATTCTGCCATGGGATGCAGAAATTGTAAAGTGTTCTTCATGCATTGTTTTGGTTTGTTTGTAAAAGTGTGACCCATATTTTTCTTTCTTCAAAACCAGGAGTCTGGATTCACCACTTTCATGCGAACATTGAGAGAACGAGACCATGAAAGAGTAGGAAAGAAGAAGGATGAATTGTAGTTTCTGCCTCAATCGAAGCTTCCGCTGCACTGTGAATGGTTCCAGGTCTTTTGTTAATGAACCTGAGACTTCACAAATTCTCAAGACAGAGACTTTTTTGTTTTTTTTTTATAAACAGCCATGGCCATTTTGTACAATTTTGAAATAAAGTGAAACCACTTGATTTTTAAAATGAAAATAAATTAGAATGTTGCCATAATGTTTTGAAGAAAACTTAGCAGTTTCTCTCATGTTGTGAGACTATGCCCACTGACACTCCTATGCAATATTTTTGTAGTCTGTCTGTAGGTGTTGTTGTTTGATAGGGTGAATTATTTTTATTTTAAGGTATTGCAGTACATGTGAAAAACAAAGGGGAGGGGACACGTTTTTTGTTGTTTGGTTGGTTTTGTTTTTTGAACCAGTGAAGGAAAGTGCAACTTGTAAGACACAGATTTATCAAATGCAGTTTTGCATTCTTGTGAAATAGTTACATGTTCTTGATTTGGGGGAACAATTTTAAAGTGCTCAGGGATAAAATAAGGTTTATACGTTAATGAAGACATTAACATTGACCAGTCCAAATCTGTTGATTTAATTTAAATCTCTCTGGTCTTTAAATCAGGACTGTTTACATACCTTTATAGAATGTATTGAGTGAATTAAGCCAAGAATCAAAAATCAGTAGAGCATGGGTAAAATTAAAACTGAACCCTCCTTTTTTGACATCAGTATTGTCAAATGTCTCTGTACGTTATGGTAGGAGTGATTAATTACCTTCTAGGGGTGTACAGTGACCCTTATAGGGTATACAGTCTCCCTTCCAATTCCAGTTGGGCTATATCAGATATGTGTTGGAAAGTGTTATGTTCAGCTGTTTTGATAAATGCATAATCCTTTTGATAATGCAGTAATTATGTATATTATGCGTTTACGTGCCAAAAGTTAATCTGCATTTTTATATGGGAGTTAACCTTTTTGATCTTTAAGGAGTTGCATAAACAATCTCTTCTGACAAAAATCATCACTGTAAAACCTGCATTAGCAGCCGTTGAAATGTGTTCAACTTTTGATGCTTAAAAAAAAACCCTGATGTTGATCTGGTGGTATTTGTGCCCTCTCAGGAGGGGAGAGAGAGGGGCAGGAAGTTGTGATTCACTTTGAACAAAAACTAAATTTAAAAAAAAGACCAGTATTTTTATAATTAATTAGCCTTTTTCAGCTTCTTCCCCACTGGGTGTACACCCATAGCTGGTGGTGGTTCAGGAAGAGCCAGCACGTGCAGAATGGGTGCCCAACACCCCTTTGCTGGGGACAGCCTGGGGTCCAGGAGTGCTGGGTGGTACCACGGGGTGTCTGGGGGAGCGATCGTCAGCCTCTCTCTGCCTGGGCACTCAACAGGTGGACAAACCAGCTTTTTACAATGAAGAACTAACTGTGCCTTGGGTCTGAATTCCTCCTCTTGCTCCTCAGTCTGCCAGCCTCATTTTCTATTGCTAATCTGGTTCCTCAGTGAAGGCCATGCTAATGGACAACTCTGTGCTGTGCTGCTCAGGAGATGAATGGCATCTTACCTCCTTCCTCAGTATTTTTTCCCTGTTCTCTCTTGCCCAATTAATGGCATTGTATGTTTGGCATTCATTAAGTTGCTGAAGCCATTAGTGAGTAATCTGGAATACTGGTAGCCAGATCAGCCTTGTATGGTAGCCAGCTTGTTAACCACAAAATCAAATTGAACAGTGAAGGAGCTGTGCCAAGTATCTTCTCTTATTAGGCACCTGATGAGCCTCTTCACTCAAAAAATCAGCTGCCTGGTAGTCCCTAATATCCTACTGTGAAAGTAGCTTAATTTATTCTTTCTGTGGTTTGTTTTGCTTTTTTTCTTTTCTGTTAGCATAGTTCCTTCATGTTGTGCTTAGTGATTTTTCCATAAGATCATGGTAATTTTCTTTCATGCCATCCTCATGTTAGTAGCAAGCATTTTACCCTGCATTTAGGAAATAATACAAATTGATGCCACTTGATTTATAACAGGAATTCTCTTGCACAAACCATGAGGTATGATCAGTCCAGAACTTCCTGGGTTTTTTTACCTCAGAGTTAAAGCAGCTAACATGAAAGAAATACAGTTCCCAGAAATGCTTCAGCATTTCTGTGCATGGGCTGGGCCTGTATTTGTGCTAATTGCTGAGAAATGTGTGCTTCTCAAAAAAAAAAAATAAAAAAAAAAATTAGCTTGCCAGTAGAGACATCACTTGTCAGGATCATTCTGAATTATAGGCTTTAGTAAATGTTTAGGATAGGACAATTGCACACTGTGCTTCAGAACAGTAATTCCTTACAGCTGGTTACACCATAATAAAATTAAAATTAAGGATTCTCATTTTTCCCCCTCAGTCTTTTGTCAGTTACTTCTTGGACTTGGGCATTCATTTTTTCTTGGCTAATCATGTGTTAATGCACAAATATAAAATATTTGAGAATAATTTACCTTCTGTTACAGGGTCATGACTCATCTGGTTTATAATCTGAATGGTTTTTGAAAAATATATTTTGAACACAATAAACAATTACATCAAATGGCTGACAGAAGCCTCAGTTACTGTGAATTAGAGTGTATCATAAGCTCAGAGCTTTGCTTTCAAGCTGTTTAATTAGTAGCCCAGGTTTGGATCCTAGTTGCACTGTTGTTATACTGTTGCCTCCAGTAAAGCAGAAGTTGGTGTTTATATTTGCTAGTGAAGTCAGTTTATGTTTATATTTGCATCAGTCAAGCTGAAATTGACACACTTTTTACAGTCTTTTCTACAAACTGTGAATGAAAAGTATCTTCTGTGTAAAACCCCTTACTTGGTGTATTTAAACAGTTGGGCATTTCACACATTCAGACTTTCCAGCCCATTGCAGTAGATGCACAGCTCAGGCATTCAGAGCCAGGTGGGAATTTCTGCCGTGGTTAAAAGTGACTAATCTTTGCTTTCAAATCGTGAATCATTTATCAGGAAGAAAACTGCTGATAACAAATGGTTTGCAGTGAATCAGAAATTCTGCTCTTGCAATTTTGAGTTTGGTCTTCCAGCCCTTTTAAAGTCTCGGGCATCCTTTACACCATTAACCCTAGGCAGATTAAGTCTTGTTGAGGAGGGGTAAAACGTGTACACAGCAGAGAGGCTGAGCAAGGATTTTGTGATCACTTTGTTTCTCAGCATTGGCTTAAGCAAGATATAAATAGCCTGCAGGTCTCTGTTAGTCCTGGTGTGTCGTTGGACCAGGAGATGGAGGGAAGTGGGAACAAGCATTTTGAGCAAACTAGTAGCATCTGAGTAGGCAATGGATTCCCTATCTTATGAAAGGTCCTGAAATGTATGATTTGTTTCATCCACCAGAAGGAGCGAAAAGTCAGCCTGGACAGAATCCCAGGAGAATAAATACTCTGCAATATGGGAGACCCAAATTGGAGGCCCAAGATGAGCAAAAGTCCCCAGTCCTCTGCAACCTGAGAGGATAATTTGGCTTTTGTTGGAATTGCCCATCTCTTTCTGACCCAATAACTACATCCTTATTTGCTCAAAACTAGAGCAACTCCTACAGGAGAGAATGGAAGAGACTTACTTTCTGAATCAAGAAAAAGCAACCTAGCATATCTTCATTTCCTCTTTCCTCCCCATGTAAAAGTGCCTTCTGGATCTGATAGCACCATGGACCCCCCAAAGCATCCTAACTAGTTGCAGTTGGTTTGAACAGCCTTGGGAATTTTTTTTCAACTCCCACTCAGACCAAATTAGGTCCCTGAATCTTGCTGACTTAAAATTTTCTCAATAGTTATCCACAAAGATAGAATTAATGGTCAAAAAAGATAAGAGGGGTAAGGTTTATGTTCTTACAGCATTTCATTTGGGAGGTAAAAAGCAGATATAACTCCCATAATGAGTGAGCTCTAAGAGAATGCTTCAGACAGAGACTTGTTTCAGGTGGATTTGCTTCATGGGTGATTTTGGTTTTAGAATCTTACTGCTTTTCCAAAGAAAAGCCAGGATCTGGTGAATTAGTCTAGGAATCTTTTCATAGGCTGCTTTCCTTTTAAAAAATAAAAAGCAAAATCACACTCCATATTCTTGATTGTGCTACATTATGAGAAAGAAGTGTTCCCTGTATGGATTTCCTAGCATAATACTAAGTCCCTGCCAACTGGATTTTAAAAACTATGAAACAAGTAATTTGCTCAAAACCACACTCGGGGGAGTGGGGACTGTTGTCCATGTGCACCTCATTTTAATTTAATAGGTTGACTAGTGTGATTGGGTCTGTAATGGTACTGCAGGATTGCAGGAGTAAATTCTGAAAACAGAGAGGGGGGCAAATTAGATTTTATTGGCAGGTGCTGAGTGTTGGGGCCAAACGCTGGCATTTCCTTTGCCTTTGGCAGCCCAGCATCCCTGAGCGTTCCATGGTTCCACTGGAACCATGCAGGCCTTTGGCTAATCCAGTTGTGTACCTAACTGCTCTGTGCTGGAACTGCTTGGAAACTACTTCTCCTGTTATTTTCTTTGGCTGATGGTGAGAGGATGCAAGGCTGTCTCTGCGCGTCCTGCTTTTATTTACCGATTAAGGAAGGAGGGTACAAAGCAAAAGACTCCAAATGCCATTTTATCTGCTGGCAACCAGGGCCCCTGGAACCTCTGACGGACCAGTGCTGCTAAAATGCTCCCTGCAAAGCACCCTTGGCTGGCTGGGCTTTTGCCGAGGTTTTGGCAGGCACTGTAAGATCTAATGTTGCAAAAAATCTAAGACAGCAATTTCCAGACTCTGGTTTCAGTGGAATAAGGCTGAACTCAGTGTGGTCATCAGCCCAGTGTAGCTGGCTTTGAGGTCTGAAAAACAAACAAACAAAAAAAAACCTGCCAGCCCAAAATTTGGGCAATTGCAGCTCCAGTGCTGGCCCATAATTACAGCCAGGAGAATGCCTGGATGTTTCCACCCAGTTGCAGGACCTGGTCTTTGGTTACTAAGATTCCTGCCCCTAGAATTCCTCTGTCCTGCCCAGAGCACTTACCACACTTGAAGGGGGATGGTGCTCTTTAAGGAACAATTATTCTGTGTTTGCTTAGAAAGCATCATAGTGCTAATTATTCTCATTAGCTTCGAGCCACTAATAA